CCCGCCGCGGCCCGCGCTGCGCTCCCTCTCCCCGTGCGCCCCGCCCGCGGGGCCTGGGCCTTTCCGCCCCTCTCCCTCTCCCCACGTACCCCACTCTCGCCCCCCGACTTCCCCCCCCGCGGTGGTGAGTGATAAGGACTGAGCCGGGACTGGGACTGCTTTTTCTTGTCGCCAGCGTGCACTTCTCTCGTGGTCCTCTTTCCCTCCACTGCTGCGGGAAAAGACACCAGACCCATCGAACCCACCCAGTACCTGGACGTGGTGAGCTTCCCCTCCTTGTAGAAGCGGCCCGTACCCTGATCCCGCCACTCATCCCTCAGCCCTAGGCAGCCGGGTCCCACCCCCACCCCCCCAGCTGGGGTCCCTGGGGTGTGAGGCTTCTGTCATGAAGGGAGAGACCAAGATCTCTCCTCGTGTGGGGCCTTGGACTAGTGTCATTTTGGGTGATGTCAACACACACTCCTGACTAGCGTTGTCGTGCAAGTCCCTACCCACCCAGGCCCCTTTTTTGATATTGAGGTTCTTTTAAACTCCGATTGTGGCAGGTGCTGTGCTAGTCCCATAAGGAAGGCAGAGAGGTGAGCAGACAGAATTGTGTTCAAGAACCGAGGTAGGATTGGCCTGGTCACCTGTGAGTCACGTGGGTGCCTGTATTAAAATGCAGGTTACATCCTACAGTCCCACCTCTGTGGTGTCAGGGTCTGAGGTGGAGTCCAGGAATCGGCATTTGACAAGCACTCCAGTGGAGCATGCCAAGGCTTGGTTGTTCAGCCTCAGGTGGTCAGGCTCACCTGGGGGAAAGCTGTGGCTGCTAAGAGCGGGCAGGCAGCACCTGCTCTGGAGGCCACCTCCAGGTCATCTTGCCTGCAACTTGATTGCATTGACCTTCTGCACCTCCCTCCTGAGGACTGAATCCCTAACTGGCTTTCCTGGAGCCTCAAAAGGATTGTCCCACAGGGAACACCTGAGTGTTCATGAAAAATGCCAATCCTTGACTCCACCCAGCAGAGTAGAAACTCTCTTGGGTCAAGAAATGATATTCTTAGAGTCCTGCTGATTTTTACATGTTAATGGTTTGCTAAGGGTTGGGCAGTTGAACTTGAGCTGGGAGGGGTTGGGTGCCTTTTCTGTAAGACCGCCTATCTGCTCTTCCTCACCTGAGTGTAGGAGTCAAGATCCACCTCTAGGTGAGTCTCCTTTTTGCTGAAAGGAGCAGCTCTGGCTTTTTCACCCCTGTGGGCAGAGAGACCAGCCCTCCAGCCACCCCCCAGCCTCTTCTGTTCTGGTGTTTCACCTGAGTGGGGCAGGGCTACACTTCTCAGCTCTGGCTGTAGTCTGCCTTCTTCCCGCTAGGGTCTTTGAAATGGACTTTCCAGCTGCTTGCTTGGCTTTGCTGAGCTCCTCTTTCACTGCTTGTCCAGCCCACAAAGGAGAAGGCAGCAGTTGGGTTAAATCGGTGTAGCCAGCTAGACAAAGATAAGCACCAGAATTGCTCCAGCACTTTGTCCCTTGAGCATGTCTTTGGGACCTGCGGCCCCCACCCCCATACCTGGGCTGTAAGTGCAGCTCTGTCTGTCCTTGGACTGATGCAGGATCTTTGCTGCAGGTGATGTGGAGCTGTGGCTGCACTTGTTCCCTGCACAGTGGCTGTTGTCATTCTTCAGTGAAGACTTGGAGACATGCGCTTTTTTCATGACTTCCAATGTCGCCTTAGTGTTGTTAAGGAGCCTGTGCAAGATTTCAGTTTCCAGCTTCAGGCTGGAATTTACAGTGTGTAAACTCAGATTAACAGAAGTGCTAGCTTCCAGGATTCGGATGGCCAGAGATATTTGCAAGCATGTCTTGGTGGCTCTCTTTTTTTAATACTGCTTTCCCTTATTTCAGAATAAGCTGGTAGGCTTTTATGAGATGTGTCTGAGTAACAGGATTCGCTCTTGTGATAGAGGAAACCAGTTGCTTACTGTGCAGGTTTTGGATAGTTCCCGTTGTCAGGCAGAAACTGGACTGAGCTGCAGTCTCTCCCTGCTCTGCAGTGCGAGCCTTGCTTGCCGAGTGTCAGTGCTGTGCTTCAGGTGCTTCTGCAAAAGGCAGATTGTGGAAACTACAGCCGGCAGAATGGGCTCTGGTTTGCTCTTGTTGGCTGTGTTTTGCAGTTATATCGCTAGGGGCGAGAGCCCTGTGAGCTGTTAGCATTCTGGAAGGCAGCTTTGCAGCTGCAGGCTACATACCAGTGGGGCATAGACCATCGGGTGCATGCTCGTGTGTTTTCAACGTGGCTGTTAACCTGATTGTGTCACTTGGGGTACATTTTAGGATTTGAGTGAGTTCCCAAACTACTATGACCTAAAAGTCAGTCTCCCTTTATTTGACATGTTAGTTTTTGTCAGGAAACCTTTTCTTTTGTTTTGTTTTGTTTTTTTAATGTATCAAGGGTTCTTTGAAGAAAATTGCATTTTGTTTGCATGAACTGTGCAGCATTCCTACATCTAACAAAATAGGATGCACCCTTGAGGGCAGAGTCTCCTTATGATTACAGAAGGGGTGAGAGCAGAGGAATCTTAGTGTAGCATTTGAATAGTACTAGGATGGAGTTAGGTTAATAGATTCCCCAATTTGGAACAGTTTATTTGCTACAGGGTTCAATATGGTGGTCAAAATTGTTTTTATCCTTTTTCTGGGAAACTGATTTTTAAAAGTATGATTTGTTTGCTGGCCTTGGCCCCCCCATTGTAGGTTTCGGGTATCAGACAGCCTCTTTCCATTGTGAATCTCCATTGGTGTCCCCTGCCTGGTGGGCTTCAGAGCCATGGCAACGGAGGAGAAGAAGCCCGAGACCGAGGCTGCCAGGGCACAGCCCACCCCTTCCTCTTCGGCCACCCAGAGCAAGGTATGTGCCTGAGGGTTCCTTGGGGGCCTTCCAGGGGCAAATAGGCTTAAAGATTCTTGATAATCCCTCCTCCGTTACGTATTGCTGCCAGTTTTTATTCATTGCCCACGTACCTGATGAAGGCTTGTTATGTGCTGTGCCAGGGATTCCAAGCCTGTCACCTGGTGGAGGGGGCTTTATTAAAAATACAGGTTCTTGGTCCTGATTGTAGTAAGAGTTTGCATGGGTCCCTGAAAACATCTCTTCATGAACCCCCTCCCACCTCTGATGCACAGGCAGGTCTTTGGCAGGGGGCACTGTCTTCCCATGTGCTTTGGGGAGGCTGGACTTGGTGGGGAGGGGGGTGGTGAGCAAGGCTGGAGCAGGTGGGACTTCTGTGATGCAGGATGATCAGATGTGGCGTGAGGTGGGGACTTGAGGGGGCGCAGACATTTCTAGCCCAGGTGGTGGAGCTGTCTTACTGAAGTGGGAGCTGTAGGAGAAGCAGGGTTTTGAGGGGGATAATGGGCTCAGATTTAGGTGTGTTCAATTTGAAAGGTGAAGTTCAGGTGGAGATTTCTAGTAGGTACTTGGCACTTGGATTTGGAGTTCAGGAGATAGCTCTGAGCTTGAAATTCAGGTTTGGGAATCAAATTCAAAGTGGTAGTCAATGGAATAGGATAGTGGTGGTTACTTTCTGCTAACTTAAGTTGTGCTGTCTCTCCAACAGCCTACACCTGTTAAACCAAACTATGCTCTAAAGTTCACCCTGGCTGGCCACACAAAAGCTGTGTCCTCTGTGAAATTCAGCCCAAATGGAGAGTGGCTGGCAAGTTCATGTGCGTATCAAGTGCCTGAGCTGCTGGGAGGGGCGGTCTGAGCTGCGGGTGGGACGGGGTAGGGTGGTTTGCTTGCACGAAGAACCCACTGCCTGTTAAAATTCTGCCCACTGGCACTCTGAAGAGATGGGGACCTGGGAGATTGGGGAAGGGAACTGGCCCTCCCCTACGCGGGGCTGTGCTGAATGGGTTTCTGAGCAATGGGTACTAGTTACCAGGGGTTCATGTCTGAACTCCAGGTGACAGGACAGCCATGCTCCTACTCTGAGCCTCAGCTCCTTTCTGTTTCTTTCAGCCGCGGATAAACTCATTAAAATTTGGGGAGCATATGACGGAAAATTTGAGAAAACCATTTCTGGCCACAAGCTGGTAGGTGGCAGCCCTGTGCGGCTGACTGCTGCACGGGCAGCTCCGGCTGTCCATGGTCAGGGCCTGTCTCAGGGCTTCTGGGTTAAGATGGAAGTTTCCCCACATCTTTTTGTAGTTATTTGCCTCTTGTGTTTTAGTGCAGACGCTTTTGACCCCCACAGACAACTTTCTGCTCTTCTCTGAGGCCAGCAGGGCTGCAGTGCCTGCTGTGCCCTGGGGCCCATGTGGCGTTTCTTCCCGATGGGTGACTCTAGTTGGAGGGTTTCCTGAAGGGATGGTGCATGATGGGGTTTTGACCTTTTGCGGGTTAGTCATGTTTTGTCCCCTGTCAGGATGGTGACTGTGTTTTTATCTCCCCAAGGGAATATCTGACGTAGCCTGGTCTTCAGATTCTAACCTCCTTGTTTCTGCCTCAGATGATAAGACCTTGAAGATATGGGATGTGAGCTCGGTGAGTGACACTTCCCCCAAGGAAGATTGCGTGGCATGAGGGCTGGGGTGGAGTTGAGTTTGGGGGCCAGCTGTCCCCGGGAGGAGGTCAGATGTGCTTTGGAGCTGTTATAGGATCTGCTTTGGTGAGTTTGGCCTGGCCAGGATTTTGGGGGAAACAGCCACTGGGAACGACGGTTTTGTAATACTCTGTTTTAGGGGAAGTGTCTGAAAACCCTGAAAGGGCACAGTAATTATGTCTTCTGCTGTAACTTCAACCCCCAGTCCAACCTCATTGTCTCGGGATCCGTAAGTGCAGCTGGTGGCTCTTCTTGGGGGGCACAGGTGGCAGAGAGGTCCGCGGGATCAAGCTGTACAGCACTGCGGGGACGGTGGATGGGCTTCGAGTTGTTTCTGGGGTTTTGTTGGGCAACATGGAGTGGTGGCAGTCCTTGGGTTCTGGGGAGTCTGTTGTCTCCTCTCTCTTTCAAATGTGAAATCACTTTAATCTCTTTTTGTCTCCAGTTTGATGAAAGCGTGAGGATATGGGACGTGAAGACAGGAAAGTGCCTCAAGACTTTGCCTGCACATTCGGATCCCGTCTCAGCCGTAAGTCCCTCTGACACTGGACATGACTCATGTCCAGCTGATTCCTGCTGTCATGCAGCGATCTAGAGTGATGGTCAGTGGTTGTGGACTGGGGACCCGAGAGATCTCATGTTCCTGTGTGCCGTGGAGGGGCAGGTGGGTGTGAAGCCAGTGGGATGCCCTGTGGCAAGTGCTGAGGGTCCCTTCCTGTGGGCCGGGAGGCAGGTGGCTGGGGACTTTCAGAGGGAGGTGTCCCCTGAACCGAAGTGCACAGGACAGGGAGGGTGGTTGGAGAAGAGGGAGCTGTGGGTTGGGAAGTGTGACCACTGATGAAGAGTGTTTTGAGTGGAGTTAGCATTGATAGATGGGTGTGGCGGGATGACCTAGTTGTGCCCTCCAGGGACGGGCTCTGTAGTGGCCCATGATGTGCTGTCCTGCAGACACCACCCCACAGCACAGGCTGACGGAGAGAGAAATACGCACATTATCACAAAGTGCTACAAACGACCAAAATCTTCCTTTGTTAATGAGGAGCTTGAGGTAGTTTCTTGGCCAAATTTGCCTTTTTTTGATAAGTTGAAGGAAGCTTGTGTAAACCGTTTGTTCATTGTTACCCAGCAGATGGGCTTTTCACTTTCTAAAATTCTGGCGGTGAATGATTTTAAGCATTTTTACCCTTGGAAGGCTTTGCCCATCTGAGACTCTGCAAAGCCGCAATAGGTACAAGTCTTGGGAAGGACCTGCTAGTGTAGGAGGCCCCATGTACTTGTGTGACAGTTTCTGCAGGATGAGTTTTTAGGAGGGGAAGGGCTGTGTCAGGACGTAGAGGCACGTGCTGGAGCTAGCAGGGGCTAGCTGGGTGGCCCTCTGCTTGCTCCGTCCCGTCCTTCCTCCTCACCCAGGCCTATCCTCTCCAGCCCGCACTCTTACGCTTTTAGCTTCTGAACTGAAGTCCCACTGTGACCCCTTTGTTCTACACCCCTTGCTGCCCTGCCACAGCCTGTGGCCTGCAGGGTTCCTGCCCTGGGCGCTGGCGCTCGCTCCTGTCTGCCCCATGTCACCTCTGCAGAGGGCACCTCATGACTGTTCATGTGAGACAGGCTGGGTGGCCCCTGCTAGGAGCTGCCTTGTCCCCTTACCTGTGTCTTCATGCACTTTCTTTTGTGTGGGTGTCTTCCGTCAGGTTGTGAGGTGGGGCCATGTGCCTCTTGCGCCTGACCGTGGGTTGAGTGGGAAAACCGGGCCTAGTGTGTCTGCCAGCAGGTGGTGTCCGGACGTGGTTAGGAGGCCAGAGCAGAGCAGGGGGTCGGCACTGCGACTTTTGGGGACCTGAGTTGACTCGTTATTGTCCAGCCTAGTGGCTTCTATAAAAGTCTATTTTGCAAATTTAAAGGAAGGGATGAATGATTAGACCAATTGCTGTGAGTTGAATCTGCACAGCACAGACTGCTGGGCCCGGACCTAGAGTTTCTGACTCGGGGGTCTGGGGTGGGGCCTGAGAACAGGCATTTCAAACACATTCCAGGGTGCTGTCACTGCTTGTCCAGGACCACAGTGGAGACCACCACGCTAGACTATAAGAACACGGCCAACCACATGTGGCACTTGAGGTTTTTTTTTTGTGTGAGGCTGATGGCGGGACAGCTTTGGTTAAGCAGCTGGTGCTGCAAGGGCGTCCTGCAGCGGGGCTGGGAAGAACAGGGTGAGAACGGAGACAGCCCTCGAGCTGCACTGTCCAGTTGCATCCACGCCTGGCACCCAGCAAGTGTGAGATACTCTTTCAGATTTTGGCGACTTAGTACAACAAGAAAGAATGGGAAGCATATTGTGATCATATTCAACGTTGATCATGTGGTGCAGTAATATTTCAGACATGTTAGGTGCAATCAGTCAAGTTGCTTTCACCCATTTCCTTGTATTCTTCCGATGTGGCCACTGGAAAAAACCTCAAGTGCCACACGTGGCTGGCCGTGCTCTTATAGTCTAGCGTGGTGGTCTCCATTGTCCTGGACAAGCAGTGACAGCACCCTGGAATGTGTTTGAAATGCCTGTTCTTAGGTCTGGGCCCAGCAGTCTGTGCTCTCACGGCTCTCCAGGTGCTTTCGGTGTGTGTGGATTTGCCTCCCGCACATTTGGTGATGTCTGGAGACATTTTTGATTGTCACAACTGAATGCTGCTGGCATCTAGCAAGCAAAGGACAAGGTTGCTGCTACACGGGACAGCCCCCACAACACAGAAGAGTCTGAAGTGTCAGCAGTGCTGAGGCTGAGAAAGTCTGCGCTGGACAGTAGAAGCCCCATCCCTGGGTGGTTAAACCAGGGGCTTCCTGTGTGGCTTAATTTCACATAGGAGACATGTCACCCGTGGCATGAAACAGGACAGTTTGAAAAAGGTGTTGTTTGTTTAAAAAAAAAAAAAAAAAGCTTGTCCTGGGTCAAATGTGCCCAGGACCCAGATAAAAATAGTAGAAACCTACGAAGAACTCTAACCCCTGATGTTGTGATTCCATTTATTCACACTAAGATGCAACTGGAAAAAAGAATGGAAAACGGAAAACCGAAGTGATTGAGTTATGCAAAAGGGGACAGTCGTCAGGTTGCGGGTTCTGTGTGAAAGTGTATCTTGCCCACCCCTGGTGAGCAGTGTTAGGCATTCAGATGAATCAGTCATTTGGGAGTACCGCAGATCAGCAGCACATGGGTTGGGGGCGGGGGGTCTCGCTTGTCCTGGGACTTGGGTTTGGAGTGGTCTGGACCTCGTTTCTGGTCCATCTGAAGAGCTCGAGCTGCCTGTGGACTCAACAGTAGTCTCTGGGTCCGGGCCGCCGTGTCTCCGGGCTGTCCGTGGCATGGATATGCATGTGGGAAGGCTCTGGAGTTGGTTCTTAGGGCAGTCAGTGCATAGTTGGGAGTTCCTCTCCCAGTTTTTATCATTTGTTTTTGCTTTTAAGTCAGGGGACATTATCTCTAGCCATGTTGACCTTGTCAAGCTGCCCTTATGGCAGTGGCAGGTGGACAGACTTGGAAGCTGAACCTGTTTTCATGAAGCCAAAGTAGGACTTGGTTGGTCGGCCATGTTAGTTGCTTTGCAGCAGCGTGGTTCATGGTTATTAAGTGATTTCAATACCTAAGACGTATTCCGAGGTGATTTTCTTCTAATGGTCAGTCATCCATTGTAAAACGGACGTACTGTTGCTTGAGGCACCAGGTGACAACAATCCCTTCGCCTACCTTGCCCCGTGTCTCTGTTAGAGTGGGGTTGAGGGCACAGCCACTCTGTGGCCTCTTGGTTGGCACTAGGTGTGTGTTTCCCGTTGTTGTGCGTGTTCATGAGTAGGGCCATTCATGCAAGAAGCAATCGTGTTGAGGACCTGAAAGTAAGTTTCTTTTTTCCCTCTTATTTCTTAATCCTAGGTTCATTTTAATCGTGATGGATCCTTGATAGTTTCAAGTAGCTACGATGGTCTCTGGTAAGTGAAAAGTTTACTTCATTTAGTCAACAAATGTGTATTAAAGGCTACAGCTCTTGCACTGCTCTGGTCTCTGGGGGTACAGCAGAGGAGTGAAGACACAAATCTTTTCTTTCCAGAAGCTCATTCTCTAGTGGGGGCTGCAGACATTCCACAGGTGCGCAGTATGATTTCAGGGGGCGGGAGACACTGTGTGGGAAGATGGGGCAAGGGGCTAGCGTGGTGGGGAGGGTGGGGGCCTCCTGAGGCAGAGAGCCCGAGAGGCCTTACCCTGTCAGACTTGGGCTCCTGCAGACGCTGAAGCGCACGCTCTTCAACAGCTCATGGGAAACGGATGAGAGAAAGATGTGCTGATTAGGGGAGGTTCGAGAGTGTGCCATCCTCTTGTTCATCAAGTCCTGGGCAGACGAGTCAGAACAGACCCCAGTGCAGGGAGGAGGGGGAGGAAGAGAGGCTCGGCGTCTTGCAGAATCATCAGTGGAGTGTAAACGGCTAATGCAGAGCTTGCAGTTGTGGGAGTGGTCTGCATTCTGCAGGAGACATAAGGGAAAGTGCAGAAGTAAATGTGGAAATTGAACTCAGTGGAGTCCACGCTGGGGGTGGGTGTGGGGAGCAGGAGTGTTAGGTGGCATCTTGGGTTTGGAAAGGATAGTGTCACACCTTGTTTAAGTGTGGTCACTAGGGAGGAGAGGTGCGATGGCAGCTGCTGACTGAATGGATGACCCTAGAAGGACTTTGATTACTGATGGAGAGGAAGCGTGACTAGAAACATCTCTACGTGTAGCAAAAATGAAGTAAAAGGGGGAAATAGAGTCACATAAATAGCACATGTAAGAATAACACGGAAGAAGTAAAGTAGTCACAAGCCACATAATGACATGTGGTCAGTGACGGGCCATGGCCATGGCAGTGGTCCCATGAGGTTGTAATGGAGCTGCAGGTGCAGCAGGCTGTCTCGTCTAGGGCCGTGTAAAGACACACTGTGGCAGCGGAGTCAGTTGACCTCGTGTTGCCCAGAATGTTTCCCTGTCATTAAGTGATGTGTAACTATGTGGTGTGTTTTATGGTAGTAGATGAATTGGCTGAAAACCCTTATAAAAGGCTGTCAGGGGTGGGTTAAAACAAAACAAAACACCTCCTGACTCTACGTTGCTTTCGAGAAACACACCTGAAATGAAATGATTGGTAAAGTCTTGAAATAGGATGGGCAGATGATGTTGGGGATACAGAGCGAGAGGAGCGTCCCCAGGAGTGGGACTGGAAGACGACGGTGCTGGGACAGTGTGACATGTCATGAGTTAGGTGGACTTTATGAAGAGCTAGGAGCCTCTGTGCATCAGGCTGCATGGCGCCAAAGGATCTCAAATCAAAACTACAACTATGAGAAGACGTCGATTTAAAATTTTTTTGGTGTTTTTGGGCTGCCCGTGGCTCACTTGGGAGATTGCGGTGCTGATAACAACAGGGCCTCGGGTTCAGATCCCTATACAGGGGATGGACGGTTCGCTCACTTGGGGGAATGTGGTGCTGACACCACCAAGTCAAGGTTTGAGATCCCCTTACCGGTCATCTTTTTAAAAAAAAAAATTTTTTTTTTTTTGGTGTTTTTAATAGATTTCTTTTAGACTTTGACAGGAGAGGACTTGAGACTTAGCAATTCTGGTTGGTACCATAAGCTACTTATATGCTAAATATAGAGGATCCATTGTGTACGGCCAACAGAAAATATTTTTTCTTTAGTACTAATTTTATTTTACAAAAAGACGTGATTCTTCCAAAATAACCACCAGAAGCACCGTGAAAGCTTTTGTGCCAATTCTGCAGGTCCGTCTGCGTTATGGCGTTGCCACCTGTCACAGCCAGGGCAGACCCCGATGGTGGGGGCTAGATAGCCAGGCTACAGAGAGCCCACGGGGGAACACACACTCTAAATGGATTTTCCTTTTTTTTCTACCTTATGCAAAGGAACAGAGTAAATGTGTTTTCCAGTCTGACCCGGGAGTTGGCATGACAAGGGACCGGTGAGGGGTGGGCATGCTGCAACCCAAGGGGCAGTTCGTAGTCAGCCCACACAGTCCCATTGTGAGCCTTGATGAGTTGGCCCTGGAGGGAGATGATTGTAGGTCAAAGTTGCACCCAGTCACGCCTGTCCACAGCCTCACAGCACACAGTTCTGGGCCGTACTCCCTCAGGGTACACACTCTGGTACCAGCACTGTTGGTGTTTGGGGCTGAGGTCACTAGGATGTGCTTGGGCACAAATGAAGTTACCTGGGCCCTGTGCTGTCCAGTAGTGGCCACGATTAAACCCATAATCCATACCTGACTGTTTACAGGTTTATCACAAAAGACATCATTCAGGAACAGTCAGATGGAAGAGAGGCCCAGGGCGAGTGTGTGGGCACAGAGCTTCTCAGAGGTCTCATGCCCTCTCCATCTGGCCACCCCTAGCACCTCCATGTGTTCATAGTCTGGAAGCTCTAGTTTTTTTTTTTTTTAAAGCCAGGAAGAGGTTTAATATAAGAAATTACAATATCATCAAAATAATTGAAGGCATTGGCTCTAAGCTAGACCTCCAGAAATGACTTCCTGAATAATTAAAACTAACCAGGGTGCCTAGGTGTTTTCTTAAGATTGTAGAACAGTCTCAGAATCACTAGTAGACCCGGCTCTAAAAACTTTCTAAAGAAATTAGAAAAAATGTACCAAAGAAACTAGGAGGAGGGAATTTATAAAGTTATAAGGAGGAGGAATGGGAAAAAAAAGGAAAATCAGCATAAGGTGTATTCTTTAATAAAGCCGATACTTAAAATAGTTAGTAATAGTTAAGCCCATTTAAGGAAAAAGCAAACATAGGCAAGAGTAGAAAGGGGGTGGGAAAGCTGCAAATTCAGAGAAGATAAGAGTCGACCCATGCACTCTGAGCAGCGCCGTGGGGCTCCAGAGGAGAGGCGAGTCCACGTTTCCTAAACTGGCCCAGGAAGTGGGAGCCCGAGGGGTCAGTCACTGCCAAGGAGATAATTAGAAAAGGTGATTGAAGGTCTACAAATAATACCAGTCCCTGTAGTTTTGTACCTGAATCCAGTTAAATAACGTATTTCTAAGGTTATCTAAACAATTCCAGACCATAGAAAAGGAGAAGTTCCCCAATTCGTTTTACGGCTCTAGCATGACCTTACTACTCAAAGCCGATGGCTGGTCCTAAAACCAAACCTCAGAGGGCAACTCAGTCGTGAATACTGACGTCAGAATTCCAAAGAAAATGTTAGCAAACTGAATCGAGCAGTGTGCCATAATATATTCCATGACCAAATAAGTTTATTGAATAATGGAAAGATTAAAACAAGCATCAGGAAACCTATACTCTAATTATATCAACAAATTAAAGGCAAGCATCCCTTTAGGTTATTATTAGTAGAGGTCAGAAAGGCACCTGATAACATCCTAGTACAAACCCCTCAAAGGCCAATATTGTCAACTGCTGGAAACTGGGCATGAGTTTTACAACACACATCCCTTTAGGTTATTATTAGTAGAGGTCAGAAAGGCACCTGATAACATCCTAGTACAAACTCCTCAAAGGCCAATATTGTCAACTGCTGGAAACTGGGCATGAGTTTTACAACACGGTGACACACTGGAACTGTTTCTGTCCAAATTGAGCAAAACAGGTGTGCCCACTTCTCCCACAGTACTCAGTGTACTTTGGAGTTTCTAGTTAATGTGATAAGAACATAAAAATAATTGTGTGAAAATTGGATAAGATTTATCTCTTTGTAAATGATACATGTGTATGTTTTAAAAAATGTACAAGCCACTGCTGTGGAACTTGCAAGTGCTCACCTGTTTAACCGTACAGTGGGGGTACATGATCCTTGCTGTCACCGTTTGCAGTTGGGAAACTGAGGCAGGGATAAACAATAGGGCAGTTGTCCCTCAGCTGGCAAGTGACAGACCAGGATCCAGACCACACACTGGCTCCATAGTCTGGTTCTGAACCTCCAGCCCTGCTGGCTACAAGATGTGATTACGTGTTTATCAAGGTCAGCGTTTGACAGCTGACTGTTTTTCTCTACAGTAGGAGTTACCGTTAAAAGACAGGGAAGAGTTCCCTCTGTGACGGTGACAGACATGTTGAGAAGAGTTAAAAGACAGGGAAGAGTTCCCTCTGTGACGGTGACAGACATGTTGAGAAGAGTTAAAAGACAGGGAAGAGTTCCCTCTGTGACGGTGACAGACATGTTGAGACGTTTAGCAATATGTGTGCCGAGAGAGTGGGGCCCATAGAAAAGTGACAAAACCTCAGTGAAAGGACACACCAAGTAGTTTGGGGACCAGGATGCAGGGGACGCAGTCACTTCCACCTGGTGGTCAAGTGCCAGTCGTCCTCAGCCTGTGTCCTTGAAAGCAGTCCACGCAGAATCCCGCCAGGGTATTTTTGCAAGTAGATGAAGTGGATTTAAAATCCATAGAGAGGCTGGCTGGTTGGCTGAGTTGGTGAGAGCACTGCCTTGTAACACCAAGGTCGTGGATTCGGGTCAGGATGGAGCGAAGAGATCTGCCACTTCAGGCTTTAAAAGCCGAAGCCCGCAGTGCGGTGGTGGCACAGGGACAGCTGAGGGGCGGTGTGCTTGAGGGCCACTCCTGGAGGCGGGCCTCAGCTCTGGCCTGGAGAGCAGACCCGTCCGGCTGGCTCATGCACAGACACAAGCGCGCGGAGGGTGCGGGGCTCACCTCTGGAACGCGACTGTCACTGTCATCTCTGGGCCAGCGCCCGCCACCGGGAGCCCGGCTGCAGAGGCGCGGGCTGCAGCGTGCACGCAGGGCATGCCTCCTGAGCACCCAAGCACGTGCATTGGCGAAAGTTGCAGAGGCCTCTTGCTGCCCGTCCTGGGAATAGCGGTCTTTGAATACGAGGGTACTTCAGAAAGTTAGTGGAAACACTGAAGTAAGAGATGACACAAATCCTTTTGTGGACATTTTGAAGACCCCATATATGTTCTCTTGCTGTTCAACAAGAGGGATGTCCAGAAAATTGCATATGATATTCTGTTTTTATTTTAAAAAGCCCTCCTGGGGGGGCTCCTGCTTGGGTGTGTTTGCGTGAGCATGGAGAGAGACCTGGGAGGAAGCCGCGGCCCCCGGCCCCTCCACCCTGGCCAGGAAGGGAGGGGAGGGCGGCACGCTCTGCTCTGTGCTGGGGTGGACTGTGCCGCTGAGGGAGAGAATTCTAGAAGTGCTGCACACAGTCTGTGTACGTAGTGAGTACGGACAGTGTGTACGTGCTATATCTAGGCTGTTTCCCTAGAATGTGAGAGAATAATTGTTAGATAAAGGAACGAAGCGTAACATTAAAAAAAGAAATAGGGAAAAGCGTGTTAGTCCTGAAACTTACACCCTCCATATCTGCAGTTCTGCATCCATGGATTCCACCAACTGTGGACTGAAAATACTTGAAAAACACCAATAAGATAATACAGTAATAAAAGATACAAACTAAAAACCGACACAGTATAACAACTGTTTATGTGGCGCTTACGTCGCATGAGGCATTGTAAGTAGTGTGGAGGCGACTTGAAGTACTGGAGGGTGAGCGTAGCTTCTGTGCAGACACTGTGCCATTTTGGGTCAGGGACTTGAGTGGCAGTGGCTTTTGGTGTCCAAGGGGGGGTGCTGGAACCAGTCCCCTGCATATACAGAGGGACGACTGTCTTTAATTAGTAGAGCTCACCAAGCTACTTGTGGTAACCTGCTTTCTTGAATTTTTTTGTTCTTTTTGCTTTGAAGTCG